TTAACAAACACAAAGACATCTGTAGTTATAGTATATATATATATATATATATATATATATATATATAGTCTTCATCATAAATTTACACTGCATATATTTGTGGATGTGTGTGTGTAAGTGTGTACATTAAGATGCAAGTCTCTGTGGACGTAATCACATCTTACCCATCCTACCTTGATAATGTGCACTGAAACCACGGTAACGGTGGTTGCCATCAGTCACAAAATGCAGTCGGAGCCAGTTCTTGTTGCTAACGATGGGAGAGGGAACATTACTGCCTGACAACCTGAGAAAAAGATAGAAAGAACATTTGTAAGAAATTGAAAAAAGCACACACACACTTACAAGACCTTAACCTTTGTCCTTTTTGTTTTTCATCTAATCCTACAGTAGGCACTTAAAGATCAGGTAGAATGAATCAATGTTGCAAAAATCTCCTCACTCTTAAAGTCTTCCAGTTTAATTGGCTCTTTTAAAGTTACAATTACAGACAATGCACACACGCATCAATGAGTATATAGAAAAATATACTTAGATGGAGCAAAGAAAACACATAAAACTGCCATTTTGTAAAATAACCAAACAACGTGTGTGTGTGTGTGTGTGTGTGGCTGCTGTCTAGAATGAAGTGGAAAAAAAAATATTTTGTGTCTCTAATGACACAGACTGAATTACATGCAGTGTCAGGACAATCACTGCCCAGTACAACCAGTCCGCTTCTGCAGCTCCATAGGAGTTAATGGAGATTAGCCCAGTTTCATGCTAAGGGTGCCTCGACCGCTCTTAATGAAGTAGGAAATTGTATCTCTTATTCTTTGTTCTTTGCCAAGATTGAGCTTGTCTGCTGGTTAAGGGGATCTGACCTAGCAACTCTTATCACAAATTCAACTCTTGTGCCAGTTTCTGCAGCTGTAGATAGAATCTGGTGTATTAGAGACAAATTATAGTGATTTGTATTATTTCTAATATTTTGTCACCTACTATTTACCTACATTTCCCATAGTAGACTGGTATATGCAAATATGAAAAAGGTTTCAAAAAGAAGACTGCAATATAACACATTTAACAATATTAGCTTTTTGCATTGAAGCATGCTTATGAACTGAAGCTTTGATGGTGCACAGTACTAGTAGATAGCACCCAATTTGCAACTCTTTCATCAAGTGGGGAGGATAAGATCCCTTAATTGGCTGAGAAAATGAACAAGGCTCTTGGTTGGCAAAGTGAAGAGTGTTAGGTCACTGTTGGCAGCCTTAGAGGAGGTGACTGCTTTCCAGTTGACACTTAGAGAATAAAACACCCTTGTTCCTGTATAACTTCAAATATCTGCAGCTCAAACACAATCTCTGCTGGCAATAATCCCCCTCTATACTTCAGTCCTTTGATGTATGGTGCTTTCATCTTGTAGCATCAGCCAACAGGTGGTGTTTCCCTCCCATTACATTTTCATATTGTAATATCACCTTGGCTGTTACATTTGAGACACAGGTACACACACACGTTAACAGTGTGTAAAGTATGAAGTGGACTGCCCTCTCATGTTCACTTGTCTCCTCCTATAAACCCCTGCTGTTAACCTTCGCAGTCCATTAATATCAACACACACATACACACACATTTGCACGCAAATGCATGCTCACACACACATGGATAGTGGCATTATAGTGCATACACTACTATCCAACACCCATGCCCTCTAATAACAGTGGTTTAAAGTGGAGCACAGGAATGCTGAGAAGGTGTTTTAGAAGGTGTGTCGGTTTTGTGTGTGTGTGTGTGT